ACACAAACACATACACAAACAAAACATATGCAGTGCGCAAATCAACATGCGATTTGATATGTGACGGTATGCGCAAGACATGCGCCGCCTTTTGCCTAAGCTTGTGTTAATACATGTGTGACCACATGTGCATCTGTAAATGTTCCTGATGTATCCTGTAGTGTTAAGCTTTGTGTTCATATGTGTTATAAAAATGCACTGTATGTGAAATACATGTGTTGAACACATGCCTGACACATAAGGTGCACATGTCTCTTCACATATCTAACACAAGTCACCCACATAGCACACACATGTCTCGCACATATACCAACATTGACAGTACATATGTGAAACATCATTTCCCGGTGTCACTGCACATGCCAAAACCTTCAATGTCGATTGACCTGCGCATGGTCCATGGTCCATGGTCCATGGTCTTAAGTTCATATATCTACATATCGTTTTCACACTCTATGTTTGTCAGACATGCTTTCACTTTCTGAAGCAACCAGCTTCAAAACAAACCGGCCAAATCAAACGACCGTTCCTGCTGATCATGACAAGGACGATGATAGTGATGATGATGATGGTGATGATGATTACTGTGTCACGCTACTGCAGCACATCGTTATCATTATCGTCAATCATAGTAACATCAATCATATCATCATATCATATCATATCTCTCTGACTGACCTTGTGCCTCCCGCCCTGTGCCCTAGTCAGGGACCTGTAATGCGACGAAGGGCCGCTGTGGTGTTGGCAAGCGGCGTTTGCGTTTGTTTGTGTTTAACATGCGTTTGCACTTGTGAACCTCTTATGTCATCCTATGTGTTGTTATGTGTTTGGCTATGCGTCGGCTTATGTTTGCTTTGATGTTTGCTTGCGCGCTGTCTTGCGTTAGCATGTGCAACCATATACGACATGTCTTACGTATGTCACCCACATCTACATGTACATGGCAACGTCATCTCTCTAAAGAGCATTAGGAAACCATTGGTTTGGGATCAAGCTAAGGTATAGCCTTCATGTGTTTGTTAGCAAAGGCATCCAGAGTCATTGTTCTTGTATGTGATGTTTCTCTAGTTGCTTATTCCCCAATGAACATCACTGGTAAACATGTGGTATATCATTGGGAAATACGCTTATCACAATCCATGAGAAGGAAAATTGTTTTTGAGGTCCTTTTTGGAGAACAGTTTTCATTTTATCTCATCTTGTGAGTGTGCGCTGTTGGAGTGTCACATTGCAACACAATTCAACTTAAAGACCCCAGCGCTTGTGAATTGATGTTTCCATTGGTGTGGATTGGCTCTTCACTATCTAATCATCAAGCATCTTCTATATACTGTAAGCTGTTCTGAAGGTCATTTCGCCAACACAGGAGCAGCGTCATCAGGTGCGAGTGGGGCAGCTTTTAGCTATTATATATATATACATATATATATGTTTATTGTATATTATATATATAATACATATAATACATATAGTGGATGTAGAAGGATGTCGGACAATATAAAGTTGCTGTAATATTTGCATTCTGTTGCACTGGATGTTTGAAAATCCTCTGCTTATATACTTTTGGACACTTGTATCCACATAGACTCAGTGCCACATAGTAGACCATGTATGATAATATGCAGTAGATATAGAATATCATAGTAGGAAAGTAGGCAACGCATTGCCAAGCACTTGTATTGCTCTGTATACTCTCGTGCAATTGGTTCAAGGAAAAAACAACGACACCGCTCTCAAATCGTGTGGCGTTTGTGGGAGGAGATGAAGAAGGACGGTGTCTCGTTGGAGTCAACAAGTGTAGATGATGTGTCAAAGGATGCATTTGTTTCTGCCATGCAAACGTCAGACACTGAAGACAGTGTCAAAGGCACTACCTCATTTGGAACCAGCAAGAGGACAAACACCCGTTCGGAAGCTTGCCGCGGCCCGGGCAGAAAGGCTTCGAGATTCTTCAGGTCCATGGTATACCAAGGCAAAATGATTGCTGCCGAAGTGGATAAACTGAACCCTGAGGAAAGGAAGCGCCTGTACAAGGAGATGCGCCTGTACAAGGCCAAATCATCACAATTGACGACGGGGATCATACGGCAGCATCATGCCGAACAGGCTGAACAGTTCAGAGGAGATGGCACCAACCTCTTAGAAGAAATGCTTCGAGAAGGTGTTTGGCCAGATAAAGACGTTGAAGCAGTAGAGCCAACCACTGAAGAAAAGAGAAGCATCCACAGCCGAATTCTGAAGGATGGCATGTGTCTGGCATGCGGCAAGCAGTGTGATGACAGTCACGCAATGTCCAGTGCGCACCAACGGGTGCTCAAGGAAGAGTGCCAGCTCGACCGGCTGTTTGGCCCGCCGGCTGGGTTTGGCCTGCGGCGATGGGGTTCCGGTTGCAAGGTTTGCACCAGAAAGGGCCTCATGGAATACTTTGGTGATGCTGTCTTCGAGCTGCCCAAAGGTGCTGGTGGAGAAATTTAGGGCCCAAATTTCTCCATCAGCACCTTGGGCAGCTCGAAGACAGCATCACCGAAGTATTCCATGAGGCCCTTTCTGGTGCAAACCATTTAGGGCTGGCCGCTGTGCATTCTTGAAGCGTCTTGGGTTTGTTTAATTTGATTTTTGTTTTTATTTCTGTGCCCAATGGGGAGAATCCATCATCTGGGGATTCCATAGTATAGGTTTTTATTGGTCTTTTTATTTTTGAGCCCCTTTAGCAAATCCAAGGCGTGGACGCAGCAAAAATGCCAAAAGACATGTGATAACCAACGAGTCCATCACAGGGTTTCACTTTGCCGCTGTCAAGTACGATGCAAGCAGCGGCAAGTACGGGAATTCCACATACGACAAGACAATGCTGCGTCTTTACCACGAAATTCCCGATGACGGCCCACTCCCTGACCCAAATGCAAGTGGGAGTGGGGAGAATGCTAATCACATCACATGGTGGCCTGTTATGATCTTGCAATTGCATGATGATTCAGTTCAAGTGGTTCGGGAAGTGACACTTGGACATGTTTATGCCATTATTTGCTTTTACCAGGTTGTCACGAACCCAGTTTGGGCCTGGACAATGGAAATCGTGGAGACGTGATTTCCAGTCATCCGCTGTCCATGGCAAAGGGTGCCTGCACATCAGTCAGTGTTTGCATTTGAAATGCTTCCGGTCTAACATATTGTGTAAATTATGTGTTCGTAATTATATACATCTTGGATCTAGAATCATGTCAGATAATAAACAAATACCATGTTAGTGTATCTATATCTATATATATATATATGTATATGTTAGTATATATATATATGTATATGTTAGTATATATATATATAAATGAATTAACACAACATGTATATATGATTATATATGTAAATGTATATGTTGCTATGCTATTTACTGTGGTTGATATAATTCACTAGATTTTCTTGTTTTGGCAATGCACCTCAGCTGGTACCCTGACTCTGTAGCGTTGTGGCGTTTGCGCCGGGCCTATGGATGATGGGGAAGGCATGTGAGCCAGGGATGCCAGGGAAAATGGTGGCTGGGTCCAATCCAATTGGCAATGTTGTTGGCTCTGCAAAGCAGAAGAAGTGACAAATTCCCAGTGTCATGTGCAATCATGTTGCTTTGATCATAGATTTCCTGACCTTTGTACAAGTCGCGAATGATTTGGTATGATTTTGTATGTAGCTTGCACAAATCCAAAATGTGTTTGGTTTTTGGTTTCACATCTTTTATAACCTGATTGTTGTGTTGTGGCGCTCACGCCGGGCCAACATCAGTGCGCACGCAGTGAGTGAGTGATTCTAATTATTTGAATGGACAATGATGCACGACGGTACTCGTCTACAATTCATATGCATCTCATAGAATACGATGTATAGATTGGACATGTTGTGATGAAACAATTTATGTAATTGTATATTCAATGTCATTCAATCATTTTGACTATTTCGCAGCATTCAGCTTCCAGACTACTTCGCAACATTCAGCTTCCAAACATAGACAAATTTACTTGCAGGAAGCTTTTGTCTCTTGTCTTCATACTTTGTATGTAGTCATGAATCAAATTATATTGGAATTGTGCATCCGTCAGCTAGTAGATTAGTAGATTTTTCAAGTACAGCTGGCTGGACTGCAGTTGTGTATCCAGCCAATGCAACAGCATGCCCCAGACCAATGATGCGCAGATCTAGTGCACAGCACGGCAAGCTTCAAAAGTCGTGGCCGCTTCCGTGGCATCAAGGCATTTCTGTCGCTTGAGTGTGTATGTCCAACTTGACACATGTCTCCAGACCTTTTTCCTGTGCAGCAGGCCTGGGTGCTGGAGGAACAGATGCCATAGGCCTGGTTCTAAGGGGCGACCACTCGCTTGTACACCCCGCTTCTCACTCGCTTGTACGCCCACTATTTCCCTCGCTTGTACACCCATGAAAATCATGATCATGATCATGGGGATCATCATCATCATCATCACCACCATCATCATCATCACCATCATCATCATCATTGTGTGTGTACACAGGAACATGAACGTTATTGTCCCACCCCACCCCACCCCACCGGTATTTGATCATGAAAGAGCAGTGCCTGTGTCTGCAGGACAGCAAGAAAGATGATGAGGTTGCGGTGCCTGTGTGTGCACAGGAACATGAGCGTTATGGTCCCACCCCACCCCGCCCCACCCCACCGGTAACTGATCATGAAAGAGCAGTGCCTGTGTCTGTACGAGAGCAGGAAAGATGATGAGGTTGCGGTGCCTGTGTGTGCACAGGAACATGAGCGTTATGGTCCCACCCCACCCCACCGCACCCCACAGCCAACAATGATGAAAGTGCAGTGGCTTTTTCCAGAATGAGAGATGATGAGGGTGCGCAAGTGAGTGACATTTTGCTCACTGGGTGCGCAAGTGAGTGAGGGTGCGCAAGTGAGTGAAATTTCGGGTGCGCAAGTGAGGGTCTGGCCGTCCCCTGGAGCACAGTCCAGAAAGGGTGCGACTTTTTCCCAGGTAGTAGTTGATGAGGACGGAGATGAGTTTGGGCCCAAACGCCGGTTCAGAGCAGCAAAATTAATGCATTCTATCAACGTGATTCAAATTGCAGATTGCCACTTCTTCTGTACTATTACTATTATATATACATATAGATACTATTGCTGTAGTATCATTTAGTATCTATTATGGAATTACTATTACTGTACTATTACTATCATAGATACTATTAGTATCTATTTGTACTGTATCGCCAATAGTGATTCGCCATGGTTCACCACTACGTTTTTCACCATGACCCGTGTGACCAGTTGCCAAAACCGCCACGTTGGGCAGTGGCATGGTGCACAAACAAGGCACCGTTATGTGCAGATCAAAGAACTTTCAGAAGCCAAGATGAAGGACAACTTGCGAATGGGTCATGCAGTTGAGTTGGTGAATCAAATGGTCTATGAAAGTTTTTTCAAAAAAATAAGTATAGCAATTATAGCTAGCCAAATACATATTATATCATATTACATATACTATAGATATATCTCAATATTATATAGCCTTATACTAATACCATTGTGGTGTCAAAACCAGGGTACGAACATGTACTAACGTATAATCCATTTACCACTTGCAAATTGATCAAATTGGCAAAAACAGGACCATCAAAACTGGCAATATATTTTTTTCAAATTGCCAATTGCCCACTATAAAGCACCATCAAAACTGCATGATGAGGTAGCTGGCAAAAAACATCATACCTGTCCAGGACCCAGGAGATCCTACGATTTTGAGGTGCGCTGGGCGGAGAAGACAAGCGACCAGTGCGATCAGGGTGATTGAATGGCTATCAGATGCTATGCAGATGTGGGCTTGTGTGACTTACAAGATCTTACAAGGCTTGCAATATATACGTTTATATACATACATACATACATACATACATACATACATACATACATACATACATACATACATACATACATACATACATACATACATACATACATACATGGTATATATATACATACATATATATATATGATATATATATATATGCTATGTATATATGCTATATATATATATGCTATGTGTATATATAAATATGCTATATATATATAAATATACGTATATATATATATATGTATATATTAAGCTATATATATATTACATATATGCTATATATATGCTCTATATATATATATATATGCTATTTATATGCTACATATAAATATATGCCATATATATATATATGTCCCATATATATATATATATGTTATATATGTTATGTATGCTATCTTTAATATATAATATGATGTATATATATATATATATACATATATATGCTCTATATTATATGCTATATATACATAATTTGTTGATGTCTCGTTTCAAAATTATCATGAATCACCTTTCACCTGCTCCAATGCTAGGCGCGCCCCTGGAGGCTATGGTTTCATCGAGGTGGTGGAGGAAGCAGAACAGCTCTGGCGTGTGAGATGTGCCAAGAAAAGGTCGATATGCATTTTGGGCTCGCAGTAATTACATGTAATTACACTGTAATGTATCAAATTTATGATATATATGTAAATTAATATATATATGTATATATATAATATATATGTATATAATATATATATATATATGTATACAAAATATATATAATGCATCATTTAATTTCCTAGGCCATGAATACGAATAAATGTTGCGCCTCGGGCAATCATTGCATCTCCAATTGTGACTGTTGCCCAGGCACCAAATACCTGGATATAAGCACGCTGTATACGAGCTACGACTTATTCAATGTGGAGTACATGAGGATGAAGTCCCACCTCCTACACCTCCTAGAGGTGGAATCTGAATAGCTGATGCAGGAGCCTCAAAGAATATTATGGAATATGATGGTATATATATATATATATATCCAGAATAATCCAGAATATTCGTGTTGAAAATAAGTCCCTCTGAGAAGTTGCCACACCTCCAGGATGCTTTCGACGAACCTGAGAAGTTGCAAAGGCGGAAGCTGGAAGCTACATAGACTGACTAGTTCAACGACCTCAAACGATCGTTGGTTGGTTATATAGATAGTTAAATCCTCCCAAAAAAATGGTTTAATTAGTGTAGGTTGATTATTTTCAGGATTGAAGTATGAACGAACATGATCGTTTGCCTACTACAGTTCACGTCAACGTTTCCACAAGTTTTTGTGTGATTCTGTGTGTGTGTGGGTCTGTGGCCAGAAATGCGATGCCATTTTGAAGATGAGTGAAGATAGTCTACAACAGGAAATTCAAGTAAAATGGGAACTCTGGATATACCCTCTGGCAAACTAACAAGCGATGGAAAATCATCATTTCAAACAGGTAAATCAACGAACTAAATGGTTTCAACACTTATGTTAGTCAGTTAGTCATTACCAGAGGGCATAGTATTGGATGATTTTCAGACATGAACCATGCAGATCTACATGGACGCTAGGGATTGAGCCTGCACCATGATTTTCCACACAGTTCACCAAGGATTTGTCTCAAGTACGGGGATAGCCCGCAGAACATACATTCTTTTAGTAGGGAACACGATTCATGATAAAACATGTGGGATGGGGTGCAGGATGTCGAGACCCAGATACACTTCCCACATAATGCAGCAATCATTTTGAGAACATCGGTAATGTCAGGCGATCGACAAAATCTGCTGCGAAAGGAGGCGCTATTTTTTGGGGGGGGCGCGGAGCTAAATTGTTCCAGTGGTTTGTTCTCGTTTTCCCATTTACATCGTCATTTTTTGAATATGTTTGGGGGAACTCTCCGGTGAAACATCCCAGTGACTTTCATTTCAGCGTGTTGTCGTCCAAGTCCTAACTCACCGATGATATCACAATGAGGATCTGGCTCCATGGTCATTTTGATAAGGAACATGAAGGGACATGATTCTGTCAAAACATTGGGATTTTGGGGAACCTTTCAGACAAACCCACGTGATCCCACGTTTCCATTTCAGCTGTTACAAGATTCCTGGATCAGATATGACGACACCGGGTTCTTCAAAAAAAACAGCCATCCACAGGAAACCACAGAGATACCCTGCTTACCCCCGCAACCCCCAACTTCAATGTTGTGATCGGAAGTGCCGAGCATCATCAACAGAGATGGCTGTTTTTTTTGAAGGCCGCCAAACACAAAATTCAGAAGACAACATTGAATTGGGGGACGGGGGGGGCATGACCTCTGTGGTGTGGTACTTCATGGGATGGCTGTTTTTTTTGAAGAACCCGGACTCAGAAAAGACACAATCAGATGGACCCATGGCTGCAGACAAACGCGAGAATGATGACGACACTCTGTCAGAGAAAGCATCGGGATCAGTTTGGGCGGGTGTTTGTGTGTGTGTGTCTGTTTGCTTGCGCGGGCGCATATGTGCTAATATGGGTTGTGCTAAGTGAATTACATGCAGCGACAGTCTTGACACCTTTTTGACCTGATTCCGCAATGTCGTTGGGTGCACTGGCTGTCGTTCTGCGTGGCAGGCGCGCCACTTTGAGGCGTGACTGCTCTATCTATCCTGCACACCTGCCATGCAACGCACATGCAACACACGTGCAACACACATGCAACACACATGCAACACGACATGCAACATGAGCTTTTTACCTGTAAATTTACAGTCAACGTGCAGGATTTGACGTTTGCAGCCCCAACTCCGGTCTTAGAATGGAAAGTGTAGATTTTTGCCCCCGCGGCCACTCTGCTTGGAAATTTACAGGGAAAATGCTCGTGTTGCATGTGTGTTGCATGTGTGTTGCATGTGTGTTGCATGTGCGTTGCATTGGCAGGCCCATACACATCACACCCGTGAAGTGGGGAAGTAGAAGACAGCGTGGCAGGCGCAAGAGTTGTAGGTGGCAGGGGCGAAGCTGAGCGCCTTGGATATTACATTGTGGTGGTCGCCCGTAGCATCCACCTTTGTGGGGTTGTCGCATATTATATAGAATAAGCTTTGACAACAATCTTGGGTAAATTTCACAAGCTGATGGTTAGCCCTCAGCATCCACCTTTATTGGGCTGTCACAGATTACAGAAGGGCATGCTTTGACAATACGTAGCTTTCAGAAGCTGATGTTGTCGCATCGATGTGTGTGTATGTGTGCTGATCTACATCCACATGCAAATCAACAACAGTTAAAATGAACTCGGAACCAAAAAAAACCTCACCGGGTTCTTCAAAAAAACAGCCATCCACAGGAAACCACAGAGATACCCTGCTTACCCCCGCAACCCCCAACTTCAATGTTGTGATCGGAAGTGCCGAGCATCATCAACAGAGATGGCTGTTTTTTTTGAAGGCCGCCAAACACAAAATTCAGAAGACAACATTGAATTGGGGGACGGGGGGGGGGCATGACCTCTGTGGTGTGGTACTTCATGGGATGGCTGTTTTTTTTGAAGAACCCGGACTCAGAAAAGACACAATCGGATGGACCCATGGCTGCAGACAAACGCGAGAATGATGACGACACTCTGTCAGAGAAAGCATCGGGATCAGTTTGGGCGGGTGTTTGTGTGTGGGTGTGTCTGTTTGCTTGCGCGGGCGCATATGTGCTAATATGGGTTGTGCTAAGTGAATTACATGCAGCGACAGTCTTGACACCTTTTTGACCTGATTCCGCAATGTCGTTGGGTGCACTGGCTGTCGTTCTGCGTGGCAGGCGCACCACTTTGAGAGCGTGACTGCTCTATCTATCCTGCACACCTGCCATGCAACGCACATGCAACACACATGCAACACACATGCAACACACATGCAACACGACATGCAACATGAGCTTTTTACCTGTAAATTTACAGTCAACGTGCAAGATTTGACGTTTGCAGCCCCAACTCCGGTCTTAGAATGGAAAGTGTAGATTTTTGCCCCCGCGGCCACTTTGCTTGGAAATTTACAGGGAAAATGCTCGTGTTGCATGTGTGTTGCATGTGTGTTGCATGTGTGTTGCATGTGTGTTGCATGTGTGTTGCATGTGCGTTGCATTGGCAGGCCCATACAAATCACACCCGTGAAGTGGGGAAGTAGAAGACAGCGTGGCAGGCGCAAGAGTTGTAGGTGGCAGGGGCGAAGCTGAGCGCCTTGGATATTACATTGTGGTGGTCGCCCGTAGCATCCACCTTTGTGGGGTTGTCGCATATTATATAGAATAAGCTTTGACAACAATCTTGGGTAAATTTCACAAGCTGATGGTTAGCCCTCAGCATCCACCTTTATTGGGCTGTCACAGATTACAGAAGGGCATGCTTTGACAATACGTAGCTTTCAGAAGCTGATGTTGTCGCATCGATGTGTGTGTATGTGTGCTGATCTACATCCACATGCAAATCAACAACAGTTAAAATGAACTCGGAACCAAAAAAAACCTCACCGGGTTCTTCAAAAAAAACAGCCATCCACAGGAAACCACAGAGATACCCTGCTTACCCCCGCAACCCCCAACTTCAATGTTGTGATCGGAAGTGCCGAGCATCATCAACAGAGATGGCTGTTTTTTTTGAAGGCCGCCAAACACAAAATTCAGAAGACAACATTGAATTGGGGGACGGGGGGGGCATGACCTCTGTGGTGTGGTACTTCATGGGATGGCTGTTTTTTTTGAAGAACCCGGACTCAGAAAAGACACAATCGGATGGACCCATGGCTGCAGACAAACGCGAGAATGATGACGACACTCTGTCAGAGAAAGCATCGGGATCAGTTTGGGCGGGTGTTTGTGTGTGTGTGTCTGTTTGCTTGCGCGGGCGCATATGTGCTAATATGGGTTGTGCTAAGTGAATTACATGCAGCGACAGTCTTGACACCTTTTTGACCTGATTCCGCAATGTCGTTGGGTGCACTGGCTGTCGTTCTGCGTGGCAGGCGCGCCACTTTGAGGCGTGACTGCTCTATCTATCCTGCACACCTGCCATGCAACGCACATGCAACACACGTGCAACACACATGCAACACACATGCAACACGACATGCAACATGAGCTTTTTACCTGTAAATTTACAGTCAACGTGCAGGATTTGACGTTTGCAGCCCCAACTCCGGTCTTAGAATGGAAAGTGTAGATTTTTGCCCCCGCGGCCACTTTGCTTGGAAATTGACAGGGAAAATGCTCGTGTTGCATGTGTGTTGCATGTGTGTTGCATGTGTGTTGCACGTGCGTTGCATTGGCAGCCGTGAAGTGGGGAAGTAGAAAACAGCGTGGCAGGCGCAAGAGTTGTAGGTGGCAGGTGCGAGACTTTGGAAGCTGAGCGCCTTGGATATTACATTGTGGTGGTGGCCCGTAGCATCCACCTTTGTGGGGTTGTCGCATATTATACAGAATAAGTTTTGACAACCGTCTTGGGTAAATTTCACAAGCTGATGGTTAGCCCTTAGCATCCACCTTTATTGGGCTGTCACAGATTACAAAGCGCATGCTTTGACAATGCGTAAATTTCAGAAGCTGATGTTGTCGCATCGATGTGTGTGGATGTGTGCTGATCTACATCCACATGCATATTAACAACAGTTAAAATGAACTCGGAACCAAAAAAAAACTCACCGGGTTCTTCAAAAAAACAGCCATCCACAGGAAACCACAGAGATACCCTGCTTACCCCCGCAACCCCCAACTTCAATGTTGTGATCGGAAGTGCCGAGCATCATCAACAGAAATGGCTGTTTTTTTTGAAGGCCGCCAAACACAAAATTCAGAAGACAACATTGAATTGGGGGACGGGGGGTGGCATGACCTCTGTGGTGTGGTACTTCATGGGATGGCTGTTTTTTTTGAAGAACCCGGACTCAGAAAAGACACAGTAGGATGGACCCATGGCTGCAGACAAACGCGAGAATGATGACGACACTCTGTCAGAGAAAGCATCGGGATCAGTTTGGGCGGGTGTTTGTGTGTGGGTGTGTCTGTTTGCTTGCGCGGGCGCATATGTGCTAATATGGGTTGTGCTAAGTGAATTACATGCAGCGACAGTCTTGACACCTTTTTGACCTGATTCCGCAATG